GATGGGGCGGAAAGGCGAGTTATGACAAGCCTGAGGCTCCTCTGACTGAGGCCGGGATGAAGAGTGCGTCATTGGAGGATCGTGCCTACGCACTATCGCAGCTGAATCAGATGGTGAACTTTCACAAGAAGCACCTCTGCTCTGGGCGAGGAGCGCCTCTGGTGAGTGCAGCCGCCCCTAGTGGACCCTTTGCTCCTGACCAGTTGGATGATAGCAGGAAGTTCAGGCCTAGTGGGGCGGCGAGCAAGATGACCTACAATCTTGTGATACTGGATGGGAAGGAGGATTATCTTGCCGATAGGCGAGAGATCAATCCAGAGTTAAGGGAAACGGGAGTTATCCCTGATGAGGCCGTCACTTGCCAGATTGTGGTTCCCTCGAAGACGAGGTTGGGCGAATACCTCCCGAACTACGAGGAGACCGTGGGCACTGTTGCAGGACGGGAGGCGGCGAAGGAGTTGATGAGACTGCTCTCGTGCGATTTCGACGGCTTGGTCATCAATTCAAAGAGAGTCTCGGAGTTATTCGAGGAACGTGTGCTGAAGGAGACCGGACGCGAGGCTGGAAACTGGGTGAAAAGTGACCAGGCCATCTGGTTCCTGAAGGAGATTTCGGGCATGGAGAACGCTGAGATGTCTTGGAAGTTCTTCATTCCGACGCTTAAAGCTTTCCCGATAGGGCAAGTGGAGGCGATGCTCATGGTCATGTACGACGGGGATGGCGTTCTCCTCAAAGAGAGCACCAGGTTGGTTGCCGTTAGGCACACGCGGATCGGACGCGACTTGAGTTACAGTGCCGTTAGGCACAGGTATACTCAGGAAGATGCACCTGGCGGATCTCTGATGTATGAGATGCATTGGAATGAACTCCCCATGGTGGGATACGTCATCATGAAGTTCTCGGACTTTCGGAAGGCGGTTCAGCTCCAAAGGGTGAGGCGAAATGGAAAGGCCATGATCGAGATATTGATCACGAGGCCCGATGTGTACGAGACCATTGGGGATGGTAGGCAGGATGAGGGCCTGATCCCACTTGTGGGAGCCATGGCGCCGGATGCTGAGGTATCGCCTTCGTGGTATGTCAGGGACAGGCTGCGGAACTACTCCGGTAGGTACGTGGTGGTAATGGTGGATCTTCGGGTGCACTGGTCCTTGGTTGGACCCGTGTTTTTGACGAGAAGGAAGACTCTTGCCGTTAGGAACGAGATCCACATGGGGGCTTGGAAGGCGGCGTATATGTACGATGATTACACGATAGTGTACCATCGGGCATGGGACTACGGTGACTTCACCCCCGTTAGGGGAGAGCACAAGCGATCACGGGAAGAGATCAGGCTGAATGTGACTGCCACGTTCTGCTTGAGGTGCGCGGAATTGATGCCGAATGGGATGCACTTGTGTCCCGGGTGCGCGCTCCCGGTCTTTTACCCGAACTTTATCCCCAACGCGGAGGAAAAGGACTTCGAAACGTGCCACATCGTGCCGGAGTGGGTGAGGACCATGGGGCAGTTCAAGCCCAGGAGGATTCCCTCCGAAGTGGTCGGAGTCATCAAGAGGAATTTGATTTCCTATTCGATGGCATCCGATCTAAGGATGACGGTGCAGAGCGGCATCAGACTTCCCCCTTATCTTGGTGAAGACAAGGGAGGTGTCGATGCGGCGTGGGATGAGCTGGCGAAGGTGCTATTCCAATTCTCCTATGTGTCCGGGATTTCGGCATCGGATGCGTTTGTGGAGAAGTGGGTGGCGAAGCACCTGATCAAGACCAACCAAGTCGATAGATTTGAGTCGGTCACGGAGTACTTCCGGGCCAACCCAAGACACGCTGCTCAGTGGGGTAGGCGTATGACGACTTCCGTTAGGAAGTTCGCTCGTCATGACACGTACTTGTCATTCTATATTCCGATGGCATACGTGATTGGTTCTGCGGCTGGTCATCTGACCCCATTGTACCCGACCCATCGAAAGGACGTGGACATCCTGGAGAGTCATGCGTTGATTTCGCAGCTCAGGAAGTACATGGTATCGGAGACGGGGTACGATGAGAAGAAGAGGTTGAAGGAGGCGATAGCCAAGGTGCAGAAGGCGATCAGCGCCGGACAGTCGGAGCCTCCCGCACCCTTCCGTGACCCGTTCGTCTACGTTAGTGACGAAAGGGTGAGGACGGTTCTTGACGGTCGTCAACCCGAACCTTTGAACGTGGACATCGAGGGACTCCAATCGGTGCATCATGCTGCGCCGGGTCCTGGTCCCAAGCAGGAGCCGGTCCCCAAGGGCGGAAAAGGGAAAAGGGAAGAAAGGGGAAAAGGGCGGTAAGGGCGGTAGTCCTTCCGGCCCACCACCGAAATCAGGTGATGTGCCAGGTAAAGGATCTGGTAAGGGCGGTAGCCCATCTGTCCCAAAGGCGAAGGACGATGCTGGACCTGCTCCGATGGAGGTTGATACAGCAGCAGCTCAGCCGAAGAAGTCTTGGGCCGAGATGGTGGTTGAAGGAGCCAGGCCGAGTGCCAAGGCTAAAATGACCCCGATTCCTAAGGCCGAGCCGAGAGGGAAGGCCGCTTCAGCTTCTGAGGCGAAGGGTGCCCCGGCTCCAAAAGCTGTGGCTAAGGAGACGAAGCAGGCCGAACCGAAGGTTGAGGTCAAGAAGGAGAAGACAGGAGGAGGTGACGCTCCCGGCGGTAGCCGCGGGTCGGCCGAAGGACAGAAGAGAGAAAGGAAATCCCGTTGGGATCCCGACGAGGCTGCGAAGGAGTCGACAAAGCGGGAGGCGTCCACGAGGCCTGGCGACGTCGACAGCAGGCCAGGTGCGGCAGCGAGAGAAGCTAGCGGGGATGATCTTCACTCCGCGCTTGGCAGGTCTTCGGCGGGGAGATCCGGCTGCAGTCTGCTGAGCGGGCTGCGGCGAGCCCGGTGGAGGGTCACTTCCTGGTGCTGCCTGAGAGTTCGGTGGTGGACGCTTTCTTGTCGATCTCCACCAACAGAGTGCTGAACAAGCAGGTCAGGGATTTCATCAGGAATGGTGAGGACGCGTCGGCACTGGAGGCTCTCAACCAGATCGTGACGAACTCTCGATCTGGGAGGAGGCGTAGGGAATCGGATGTTTCCCGTACTCCTTCTCGGAGGTCCGTTAGGACCGTGGACACCAGGGATTCCAGAGAGTCGAGGAGGCGCAGATACCGTCCGCGGCGCGAGGATGATCGCGACAGGAGGAGGGACGATGCTCGTGATCGTCGTGATGATGATTCACTCGATCGGGAGCGAGATCGAAGGCGAGATGATCGCAGGAGATCCGAAAGGGATCGTGATAGGGACCGTGCGCGGGGCGGACGTGACCGGAGGAGACGTGACGATAGCCGGTAGGCTGAGTCACGGGGATTGCGGCCGATAGGCTTGCGTCCATTCTCCAATGGTCGGCGCGGTGTGGAGGTGGTGATGTTCCTCCCGGACCGCTGAGGCGCGGAGGTCATGTCTCTCCCGTACCGCTGCTGAGCTGCTGGACGTGTTCATCCGGAAGCAGTGTGAGTGAGAGGGAAAGCAAACTGATGGGGGGTTACTCCTGGGTTTGCGGAATTCAAGCATTTTTTCAGGTACGCATGGTCAGAGGTATCTCTTGCCGTTAGGCGAGGGTACTATTGGACATACGTTATCTTTCTTTTTCATGGCTTCTGATAAGAATTAAACTTCTTGCATTGTTGATGCAAACAGTTGTGACCTAGTGTCGTCATGTGGACTTTTCCACAAGGTTGTTGGACAGCGTTACCCCGATTAATTCGGGGTGGTGGCGGGAATTTAATGCCCGGGATGTCGCGCAACTGCCTTTGTGGGTTTGCTCCACCGCTGACGGCGGTAGTGTCCAGCTGTTTGCGGACGCATGCGAGCAGTTAAATCCTATCAGTAAATGGCACGCTCCACCCGTCATATGACGGGCTCCTCGTGAGGGGGGTGTGATTAGCCATGATTCATATCATCATCAGGGACGTCGCGTTAGTGACCGACCTGTGGTGTTTTGGCTCAAGTTTTGGGTTCCGTCGCGCCTCGAATGGGCGTCGCCGAACCCCTGCGTCGACCGACGGCATCTCGGGGGAGAAAGAGACCTCGGGCCGCCGCCAGGTTGGTAGGGACCAGTCGTGCGGCCTGTTGTCGACCAAGGTTGCGGGTTAACCCTTTTCTTGTTTGGTTTGTTTCCTTTTGGTTGTTGTTCTCTGGTGTGTGGGAAACCCTGATCTTTGGGACCGGGGATTGGTTTGCTTTTGGGGAACCTTTCTTTTGTGGCTTGTTTACCCCAACTTACCCATTGCCTGGGCACAGGCTCGTGCCCGAATCACATAGATAGATAGATAGATAGATAGATAGATAGATAGATAGGTAGATAGACAGATAGGTAGGTAGATAGATAGATAGATAGATATAGACATAGACATAGACATAGACATAGAAATAGAAATAGACATACATAGATAGATAGATAGATAGATAAATAGATAGATAGATAGATAGATAGATAGATAGATAGATAGATAGATAGATAGATAGATAGATAGATATAGACATAGACATAGACATAGAAATAGAAATAGACATAGATAGATAGATAGATAGATAGATAAATAGATAGATAGATAGATAGAAGGCTAGATATACATACGCATGCTTCAAGGTTTAAGAAGGGTTGCAAGGGCTGATTGTTTTTTGCTAAAGGGCTCACATGGGCCCTTTTATGCATCAAGGTTTAGAACATCGCATATTGTTAATACTAATGCGGCGCCCATACATTTTTTGCCTGTTTCTAGTGGCGATTAATTGAGACACCGGGCTTACACGGGGCTTACACCGGGCTTACTTCTCTTGACTTGGAAGACTTTGAAAGTTGCGAAATACTGTGGCCAGGGGATGCATGCCGTTTCCCCATGTGTATTTACTGGGCTCACATACAGGTTCTACCAGGATGACGTTTTGCTGTTGGGAGGCTTTCGTGTCTCTCGTTGCCTCTCCCTGTGCAAGGAAGAGCCGTCGCCCTTGGCCGCTTTTTCAGAGGCGAGAGGAACCGTTTGGGTAAAAAACGGCATGGGAGCTTCTCAAACTAGTGGACGTCTTAGTTGGTATTTCAAGGCAAAAGGACACCAAAAGAATGTGAACCATCTTTCCAATTTAGGGGACCCCTTTTTTGGAGAAACACCCAAACCATACAATTAACCAAAGGCATTGAGCAGAATGGTGATGTAGAGGTTGTGTGCCCTGAGGGTCGATGGGACGACGGGGGAATCTGGCTGGCGTACAAATTACAGCCTTGTACAAAAGCGATATAATGTTGACCGTTCGCCACCACCCCCGGGTGGCGAAGGCTATGGCTATGGTAATTGTTTGATCCACTGGGCTAGGTGTTTTGGCTGGGATGCTTAAGAAAGTGGGTTTGTCTCGTGCAGGAACCTCGAAGTAGGAGCCCCACACCCACATGCACCTGTGCTTGCCGTGAAACAAGTAGCTATGACCTCTGACAAAATGACGGTTGAACTCGCGTAAGTCCCAGCAGGGTTGAACATGGACCAAGCGTGGCACATGGAGTCCATGGAGTTCCTGCTCTTCTTTTTGAGGTTGCTTCTCCTCTTGGTTCTATGGTTCCTGCTTCGGATGGGGAATGAACACCATTTTTGCCCTTTGCCGACATAATAATGGACACCGCAAGCAACAATTACTTTATGCCAGAATTCACTGAACGATTCGAAGTTGGACCAGGGTTGGGGGATTCAACCCGTTAAAGCCATGTGTTTTCTATGCCTTTCGTAGCATCTGTTTGGTCTCATAGCGGCTCGAATCGGGCGATCAACAAGTTTGGCCCCACCCTTGTCACAAGGAACATCGGACTTCTCTGGCCACCTAAACAAACAGGATTTACCTTTTAGTGTGGTTCCGTTTTTGGCACCCGCTGTTTGGGGTTGTTTCAGGGGAAACCCAGGAAACCATGTGTACCATTTCCGGTGCATTTCGAGTCAAACCCTTTGCCTGTGGGCCTTAAATGGTTATTTTGACCAAGAACCAAGGGTTCAAGCGGTTTGGGTTGTTTGGGGAAACTCAGAAAGTCATTGGACCTCCCTTTTGGGGATCTAAGGGAAACAGTTTGTTGAGGGAATATTGTGAAGCTGAGAGCTATGGGGTCTCTACCCAAAATAGGCCCTGGCTTGGGGCAGCTTTCAGGGAGGGTTCTGGAGATTCGGTTCCAGTACATTCCGGGGGCTGTTGGCGCTCCACCTTGGCTTATCTTGCTGTTGCTCAGTAAAAATGACCCAGCGGCGGTGGTGTTGCGAATGAACCGTTTTGGGGATTCCCTTAGCGACTCCAATATGGTTTAACCAAACCAACCACACCAACCAAAAGGGGAAACATGGGAAACCAAAGGTGAAGTCATTCCAACTCTCATTTTCCCTGCCTCTCTCGCACGGCGCCGCCTGGGACGCATCGACGGGACGCATCGACGGGACGCATCGGGACGCCACCGACTCGCTTCGGTAGGCGGAGGGCGAGCGAATGGAGCAGCTGGAGGCGGAGCTGCGGCGCTTGCGACGGGAGAACGGCACGCTGAAGAGCAGCTTGTTCAGCTCCCAGGAGTCGTGTTGTGGTTTTGTCGTTTTCCGGCTGTCCGACGGTTTTGGGTGAGTTTTGGTTGGAAAATAGAAATATGGGTACGAGATGTGGTTCTTTTATCCAGAACAAGCTCCCTTAGAAAAGCAGAACAGGGATCTAAACAAGACACGCCCTTAAAAGGCGGCACTTTAGGCACCAGGGTCCAAAATAAGGCAATTTGTTCGGACCCTCCAAATGGCAACGATTGTTACATGATTGTTGTTTAAATAGCCCACATACAGAATGCTCGAATGCCCTCTGTTAAAATGCAACCGCTTACTTCAGGGCTTAGCGCTTTTCTTTGGGTGTCAACCCGAACATCTAATATCTAATGTTGTTTCGTTTTCTGACCCATTTCTCTCGCATGTTTTGGAAAACCAGGGTTAGGTGTTTGATCGAAATGGAGCCCGCCAAATCCGGGGGCCGCCAAATCCCTGCGCTCCGACTCCAGAGCCGGCTGCAGGAGGAGGCTCAATCGAAGTCCAGCGAAGCGGCAGAGCTACTGCGGGAGGTGGGACAGCGGTTTTTGCTTTCACGGGGAGAAGCGCCGCCTTCGGTACCATCTGTTTTTTTTTTCTTAAAAAATGTGCTATTACTCTAGTACTTGTGCCAGGGATTTCAGAGCAACCCCCGCATGTGGCATGATGGGAATACATGGGTATGACACCTAAAGGAGAACACTGGCAAAAGATCGCACAATCTCGCCCTAATCGCCAGAGTTTCACTGACCTTGACACCTTACAATGCATACCTGAACATTGGTCTTTCGCGGCATACCTTGTTCAAAGCTCACCATTCAAAGTTCAATCTGTTGCTTGTTATGTTGGAATGTGTAGCTGACCTTTGAACCGTTCAGCTTGCGTTCGTATATGATATACAGAGTTTGCATTGTCCAGAGCTGACCCTCAAACCTTTCGATTCCTGGCTGGTCGTAGGTGTCCACGGTAGATCATGGTAGTTTTCTTTTAGATCCCACCGGCAAGGTTTCCACCGTTTCTGACATATATATATATATACATACATACATATATATATATATACAGATGAATATACATATGTTTGCGCATACATCGGTACATGTGTATGTATGCCTCTGATGTATTAGACCATGTACATCTATTCCCGCATCCCCACAGTCGCAAAACTCTCGCGCAATCGTTTTGGATCCAACCGCAGAACAGCCACCTGAAGTCGGAGCTGGACACCATCCAATTCACCCACCGCGATGAGCTGCAGGTGGAGCGGAAGCAGATCCAGGCCACCAGACGCGAGGAGGGAGGGCTTAAAAATCATATGGGGGGAGGGGGGGGGGGGGTTGGAGGGTGCTTGTTTTACTTTGGTTGAAAGGGAAACCACCAGAAAAAGCCGTGATTGTGTTTTGGACTGCGGGATTCACCATGCAATCTATTTGCTTTTGGAGGAGGTTGTTCCTGTGAAATCAGGTGGCAAGAAACGGACTCTTTTTTCAGGGGGAGCGCTGGTTCACTTTGAAATAGACAAACCAAGCGGACAGCACGCACATCAAAATGAAGCTCCACAAACACAGCAGCTTTGCAGAAAAGAACTTCCACAACTTCCATTTGCTTAGGAATATCTCAAATGTCCCATTGTTGGTTTTAAAGCGAATCTCTGACTACTGGACATAATTTACCAGGCTGACGCCTGACTGCTGCTGACCCTCATCCCGTTTTCTCTTGACGGTGCTGAGGCGTCTCCGCGGTCAAGAAAAGAAAGCCCCCCAAGGTCTTGGCTTGCTTGCGGTGGTGCTGGTGATGCTGGTGATGCCGAACATGTAAGTCATGGTGGGGTAAGGGGGCGCGGTCCAAGGGCTAGAGTCTTTATGATGCGCTTTCGAATGGCAGTACTTTTGGGATTTCTTGACCACTGCAAGCGCTTGCGCGGTCAAGAAAAGCAGTGGTCCTTGAACCCTCCCAAACCCAAATCCCTGGAGCCAGCCCAGGGACCAAGCCCTGGAAGTAGGGTTAGACAGAAAAAGAAGGTCTTTCCCCGATGGCGCATAGTTCATAGTTGCAAGCCACCGCGCCCCCTTCCTGGGTGTGAGTGGGCTAAGAGCAGGAGGGGTCGGCGGATCGGATTTTGTGGTTGGCTTGAAGGGAAACTAAGAGGTAAACCACTCGGGTCTCGCGTGTTGTCGAGGAGCTCCAGGAGCGCGAGGCCCAGCAGCGCCAAGAGATGCAGAGCCTCCAGGCGCGCCTGGCGGAGGTGGAAGGCGCGGGTGCAGCGGGGCTGGGAAGAGGAGATGCGGGGATGGAGCGAGGGGGCTGGGAGAGTTGGGGAGGGGGGGGGGGGGGGGGGGTAGAAACCCACCATTTTGGGGTTGCTCCAAATAAACCACAGGAAATTTCCACCCATGTTGGCTCGTTTTCCGCCAAGGCGACTTGGCGCGGTGGCAGTCCGCGGCACAGGAGGCCAAGACCGCGGCGAGCTCGGAGAAGGCGGGGCAAGCGGCTGCGGGGCAGGGATGGCGGGGCTGGAGGTTGGACGTTCTGGGGTGATGTCTTCATGTTCCTGGATTGAAATTTAGTTGCGGAAATGCAGATATGATACGTGCGCAATATGCATAGATACATCTCTCAATGTCTCTCTCTCTGTCTCTGTCTACAACTGTATACATATACATTTACACATATACGTTTACATATACCTTTGCATATACACAGAATACCAAGAAACATATACCCATAACACATATGTGCATCTATGTGTGCATATATATATATATATAGAAATATTCATGTTTATACCTTGTTACTCATAGTTTTGTGTTCCCAGCCCGCGTTCGAAGACGAGGAGCGCTTCGAAGAGATCGAGAAAAGGCGGCGGCACCTGGAACAGCAAGCCGGAGACCTGCGGAAGGCTGCTTCGTCGCTGGTTTCCGTGGCTGGGAAGGGGAAGTTAAAAGGAGCTTGGAGCAAGAGGTCTTCGTGGTTAGTTGGCTGGATCTTGGGACTTTAACTTTTTGGTTGAAGCGCTGGAGTTTCCGTTGGACGACAAACAACTGGAACTTTTGCAGAGGGGTAAACAGCAAGCAAGAGGTTAAACCATGGGTTGACAGGGGGATGGGGCTGGTGAAGCAACAGGTGGTTATACCATGACGGAAGTACACGGGGTAGACCATGGTTACAATATGTAAGCCGTGTATAAGCCCAATACAAGGAGAAACGGTTAGACATTTGTGGTACATGGGGGGAAAGGAGGTTGTTTGAAGAGTTGTTATCTGAGCAATACCCTATGTTTCCAAGAATGAAGCTGACAAGAAGGTTTTGGAAAACTACGGTCCTCTCGAAAATGCCTGTCTCTCTACTTTGATGAGTGTTTGAAAGAGATGCTAAAACAGGGGGTTGGCCCAACCCTGGGGGTGGAGGGACCTTGTGACCTAATTGTGCCAGGGGTCCACGAGATGGTTTGCGAAGGTTTGAACAGACTCTCTCAAGAGTGAGATTTCTAAAGCCAGTTTTGGAGTTTGGGATTGAAAGCTCACCCGGGGGCCAGGCTGTTCCTGGTTGGCGTTCTCATGGCTATACCATGATTGAAGCCACGTTGGTTGAAGGCAAGGAACAAGCCGCGAGCTCGGACTTTGAGAATTCCCGAAAGCAGGGACATCGTGGCTGTGCTGAGATTCGCGATCCTTTCTGGACGGTGTTTGGATGAGCAGTCAAAGGACTGTTTGTTTGGGGGGGGGCTTCTGTATTTGAACACACCCTGGACGTTTTGGCGGAAAACTGCCAGATCCATTGCAAAACACACTTGAACAGAAGCCATTTTGAAATCATCCCCACTCTGCCCCATGTAAGCCCAATATTTCGGCCCCTCCAAAGGGAAGCCTAAACCGAATGGATGTCTCAACTGTTATGTTGAATGTGGTTAGGTTCACGTGGCCACCCGAAAAGAATTGCGGAAGGAGCGCCAGGACACGGACTTTGTGCTGAAGGACCGTGCGTGTCGCTGTTGCGCCTTCGGGCATGTACCCCAGCCAGGCAAAGAGATTCCTTTTCAAATCAGTCTTGCAACGCGTCCTTTGTTTCTTCATGCTGAGAATCTTCAGGGCAGGTGCTTTGCAATGTCTACCTGTTGGGAGAGGCATTTCCTCAAATCACCCCAACCAAAAGACTCCAAGGAAATTGGCGGCTTCGTTTTGTTGTCCCTTTAAAGCCAAGGGCATCGCTGGAAGAACCTGTCGTGGCATTTGCCACACTTTCCCTTCCTTAGGCCCGCAAGCATGTTCTTGCAGCCGAATCACCAAGAACGTCTCTGTTTACAGCACGGTTAAGACGTGTTTGGGGGCAATATGAGCCCAGACCGAAACCAGTTGTGTTGCCAGAGTTCTCAATATATAGAGAAGCCCTAGAATGGTTGCCTACCATTTGGCAGAATCCAATCCGAGTTCCTATACTCACTCTTTGCGTTAGCTTTTCGGGAAATGACGAAGGTTCCCCACTATCTCGAAGCAAGTCGGACTCTTTGCAGGGGTCCAGTTCGGCCCAGCCAGCTTTGCAGGGGTCCAGTGGCTGTGTTATAACGTGTATGTTTCCTTTTTACGGTTTCCCTTAAGTAGGTGGTATTTTCCTGGTCTCCCTCAGCAACATCCAAAAAGAGTCCACAACTTGGACTCAAATCTGTTGTTGTTGCTCTCCACAGGGGGTGCAAACTGTTTGCATCATATCTCCCTGACTTGGTCCCTATGTCTGGTAATTTAGCATAACAATTATAGGACCAACCTTGTGGGGCTCGTGCCCACTCTATGACATGAATCAGTCCCGCTCTCAGCTTGATGTGTCAACAGGAATTCTATGACGGCCTTCTTTTAGAATCCCAAGACACAACAAACAACTGCAGCTTATCTTCAACGCAAAGGCTAAACAACTTGCTGGGAAATGCCAGCAAGACACCGAGTCGCTGCGCGCCTCTCAAACATCAACCCCTGAAGGGTGGCACATTTCTGTGGCTTCCCTTTAGGCAGCAAACGTTTGTTGTGCTAAGGTCTCCGGAGCAGCCCTCAGTTCAACTCAGAAAATCGGGATGCCGGAGGAGAGCCAAAGCAGCTGGCGGGCGGAGCGCGAGAAGTCGGCGCCCCGGGGCGCCGAAGAGATGAACTTTCCGCATCTCGCAGCAGTGCTCCGCGTTTCTTGTTTGGCCATGGGTTGCCTAACCTATGGCGATCCCATTTTTGGGTGGATGAACATCCATTTGCCACCTAGTTTGATGTTCACCAGGGGTTTCCTGGGTTTTGACCCACAGCCGTTTCTGTCTTTGAGGGGCGAGGGGGGGGAGTCAACGACAAAAGCTTGTATTTTTGCTTGCAAATAGAGGGGCCAGGTCGCCAAAAGGGGGTCCCTTGATTTCAGCTTTCATCAGTTCCCTGGTTCGCCGGTGTCCAACATCATGTGGGTGTGGCTCAAAATTAAACAGCAGGGGGTGGTTTTGGTCCATGTTTCCACTTACCAGGGTTCCATTTTGGTACCGGTTTTTTTAGCCACAGCCATGTATTGTCCATGCAGGGAGCGGAGGTGGTGTTGAAAGGGCCCTTGACATGTTGCTGGTTGCCAATTTGTCCCAAGAGCGGGTCCAGAACTGCTCTCGTGGTCTCGTCTGAAGGCCCAGCCTTGGATGCTAAGAGGCCTTATGACACCATAGTTTTTTGGTTGCGGAACGGTGGTCATCAAATTCCCAATGGGTCTTAGACAACCAGGGTAAGGATTCCTCTACACGGAGCCATGGCCCCGCAGGAGTTGAACCATGGCATGGGAGTGTTGCTTCCCCGGTTGACGTATTCCTTCTGTGGTTCCATTGGCAGGTGATATGTCTGGCTTTGGTTCTCACGCGGGGCTATGAGTAAACTCGTAGAGGCCAAGAGGAAATTCTACAGAAGATGCACAGACACCCACCAAGCAATCAAGGATTTTGCTGAAGTTCGCAACAAACATCAAGCTTGATATGTCTTGCCAACGGAACACCAAAGCCCATGCTGACTCGCGGTGGGTGCTCTGTGTCGACCGCGGATAAAGCCTTGAGGATTAGTCTGGGTGTGTTTCCCCCGAAAGCGATCCGGAGTCCCTCTACACTAGGACAGTCGGACACCCCCCCTATTTAATCCAGAGGTTGATTAATCAACTGGGTGATCAAATCTGGGGTCTCCTCCAAAGCTCATTTTCAAAGTTTCATGCTTGGCGAATATGAATCAGAACATCTAATTTTCTGTGTCCACCACACATGAAACAACACTCATTATTCTTTGCAGTGAACCCCATTGGCCCAGAAACCTCCGAGCTGGCAGGCTGGTGCAGGACATGAAGCTCAAAGATCGGGAGCTCGGAAACTTGAAGCAGGCGGGAATCGACGTTTTGCGCGGGGACTTGGCTCGTGTTGTTCACGTGAGCCAACGACAAGAAGGTGGGTTTTGAGGCTTTGCCGCCCAAGTTGATTGAAATAATTGCGAAGATGCGTGACATTTCCTGGTGTTCAAAGAAAATGGTTTGACTGGAATCTAGATTGCGTTTCGGTGTCACCTGACCTGAAGCAACTCGACGCATTTTTTCTCTGGTCCATAGGCCCCAGGTTGGCTGTCAGACCGAGTTGCTTTTCAGCTCCGACTGGCTCACAACTGGTGCAGCCAATGAGCCCCACATGAGCTGTGCCTCTGAGTTGCCATGCAAAAGATGGGGCCCCCAAGGCAGGTCCTTGGAGTCACCCCTCAATTGAGCCATCAAAACCCAGGAAGGTGGGGGATCCGCAGGTGTGGCAAGAAGCCGCGCCTGAATTCTTGACGACATGGTTCTGGGTAGACCATAATTAACACCATTTTGATTGCACATTTAGGGTCGCCCAACAGAAGGCTTCCCTTTCTTTCCCATGGCCCACTGGTTTGGGAGGCTTCTGGTGATTCACTGGGGGTTCAGGTCCTGGACAACGTCACGGCCGCCCACGTGCCCAAAGAAGAGCTGCAGAAGCCCGGGAATCGCTTGAGAGGGATGGCGGTGCTCCTGTTTTGGAAGGGAGGTCCATTTAAAATCCACCAAGAGAATATCTAGGTCCCCCAGTAGTGCCCTTTTACCCCTTTTTTGGGGGGAGGGTTCCCCTACTAAAATGGACTACAGAAAAAAAGGGTACCCTTATTCTAACCTCTCTACTCTGGAGGATCTAGACGTGCCAATTCCCCTTTTGTCCTCAGGAGCCGCGGGGTTCTGGGTCCCCAACAGCGACAGCCAATGGATGGGTGTTCTTTCCCCTTTCCCTTTAAAGCCACCCTCAAACCATCGAAAAGGGGTGGGCCCGCAATTTGGTTGGGCCTTTGGACCTTAACTTTTTGGGAGACTGTGGATTTCCATTGGACCTACCAAGAGTTAAACTTGTTGCAGATACTTGGGCTGATTTTATGTTTTTCGCCTTGTTGGTTGCTGAATTCAAAGGGAAACCAAGAGAACCACCCCATGTTGAAGAGCCCGTTCTTGTGTGTTTATCCTCGATTGAGGATACCCCTTCTTGCTTGATGTTCATGAACAAACAACACAAAAGCGCGTTCGGGAGCGCCCCCCTATTCTGAAATAATCCCAGTTGGCAACACTCGGCTTGGTACAGCCGAGAGGGCAGCTGTCCCAGCCTGGCCAGTTGGGTGTTACTGGCTATGTTACTTTGATGACTCGAGTTTGTGAAAACCTGGCGTATGACTAGTTGGATGTTGGATTTTTCTATTGCTGTGGCCATGTCGCTTTCTGAAACTCACCAAAACGGACCCTTCCAGCTTGATGACCATGTCCATTTCTTAAATGGGTCGGTTTTGAGGCAGATGCAAAGAAGCAAGGAGCACCACGTTGGGGGTCCTGAATGGGAAGCCAACTGACCGCACAATGATACCGCCATTCAATGGCGTTCGGTGAGCTGGATTGATCAAGGACGTGTTTGGCAAGATTTGTGTTTTCGTGGAATCGAAACACAAGAGAAGGAGTTCGCCCTCGTGGTCACAAGCCAGCTGGCGAGAAAGTACTCGTAGATGTACTGTTCCCCGTGTTTGCCGGCCGTGTTTGCATTGCTGTGCGGGTATCATCCTTACTCAGGGGATATTTTGACCCCCACCCCCCACTCTGCTTCTCAGACTCTTCTCCAGAGAATCTCTTGCAGGAATACAAAGCTTTCCTGCGGGGTGCTGCGGCCTTGAATTTCTCTTAACCTTACACCATGAGCTTACAAGTAGCCAGTAGCTTGAGGTCAATCGTAGGTCCCCACCCTGAGCGCCTCATCGCTGCACATGGTGGCCTCGGTGGTCCAAAGAAGTTGGCCCGTTTAGCCGTTCGGCCTCATTTGTCAGGGTCTCACATCAGTTTACTCCCTCAAACTCCACGTGCGCCATAAAGGAGCTTATACCCCACCCCCCAAAACCTTCCCAACCGGAGCTCCTTGTAGAGCGCGAAAGCGACCCCCCAACAACGGGTCCGATCCCTGCAGATTCCGGGATCGTTCATTTGCGGGTTTGAGACCAGTGGGACACTCGGTGAGCGGTTTGCTTCCAGGTGGAAGAGCCGCTGTGATGAGCTGCAGCAACAAGTGGACCAGGCAGGAAGTTCACCAAGGGTATGGGGAGATGGTGAATGGTAGAACGTGTTTTGATACCTTGTTTTGGGGTCCTTGGAGAGGTTTGCTTTTTGTGTGTTTGTGTGTATATATGTGGTGTGTTCTCTTTTGGGGCGGATGGGAGGTTGGGGGTCAACGGCAAAACACTTGAATGGTTCCATTGGTGGGGGGGGTGTTTCCCAAAACACTATGTGTCAGAACTGGGCTAAGAAAGCAGCTACCAGGAATCAAGTGGCGTGAACAGATGGGGCCATGTTTTGGGATGCCGATGAAGCTGCACACAGCATAGCCAGCCAGCACCAATCTGGGCAAATCGCGACCACCTTCCGGGCGGTTGCCCTTTCCTGGGGGTCCGTCATATTGGTGAAACATGATTCAGATGGTTCAAACCAATTTGAGTTGGGCTCGGAAAGTCTGACCCGAAATAAACCTAGATCTCAGGCTGCCGCTAAAACCGTGCCAAGTTGGCGCCAGCAATTTGCTCGCACAGAACGATGCGTTTGCAGATGCCCCAGAAACCTGCAGATGCCCCAGAAACCCGCCGGTGGGATTCCGACATGCAGAAAAGGGGTTCCGGCAACGGGAGCCAAAGTCAAAGACGTTCCACACGGAGGGTTGTCCCAATGAAGCAACCATGGGATGTGTTTGAAGTTGAAGACAACCACAAAAAAACCTCGCATTTGAAGCAGAATCAAATGGGAGCTACACATGTGCATTTGTTGTCAGCTCTTTCTTTGAGCACACCCTTTAGGGTTCGCTTTTGTCGGAAGGAAGGGACACCAATGACCATGGGAGGAAGCCGCTGATTTCGGGGTTTTCAGACAAATCCATGCCCAATTCGGCGAGGCCAACCGCGCCCGGAGAGAGATGCAGTCGGCCGCTGCCTCGGCCCCCCGATGCTTCGAGTCCCAAATTTGGGACTGGATCGAAAGGCCGGTTCTCCGATTTTGAGGGCTGAATGGGGCTGATGTCACCTTTTGGGTGCCGTGAGTTCTTTCCTGATCTCGATGATCCCAAGACATGGTTATTGTTAGGAAACATTTTACATTTTTGCTTATTGTGGTTTAGTGGGGAATCCCCACTTAAATGCTAAGATTTGTTTTTGTTGCTCCCCTTCCAACGTCAACCAAGAAAAAGGGACTCAGAGTCTGACCAGATCTTGCTTTCCGGTGTCCTTTGTTTACCTCTTGGTCTTGAAAGCATGTCTTCCCTGGCAACCTGCTATAGTGGCTTGCCCGGAGGCACTGGGTAGTCAAGGTACCAACGAGCAAACTTTATTTGCAGGTCTTTTTGGGCAGGTGAAATTGTAGCAGGTAAGCAGTTGGATTGTTCAGCTTTGGTTTCCAAATTGTGGGACGCACTTGCTTTCTAGAATGCTAACTGCAAGAAACAGCTGAACGGTGTCTCGATTGAAGGACAGGTAAAACAGAACGGGCGAGGCTCTATGATGATGAAAGGATTTGTTATGAGGTAGCAAGCCACTAACAGGCACCCAGGTGGATTTCCTGTTTTCAAGCGGTGTCCCAATGGTTGTGGAGCCTACGAGCACCATCGAGCACCATCACGATCGCTCGGGTGAGACGTGCGGCATTTGGTTACCACATAGGACCTGACCGGAGATGCGAGCTGGAGGTCGGTGCTGTCGCAGCAACGGTTTGCAGCTGGTGCAGACGCCATGTTAACATGAATCCGGGACCAGTGGTGGTTCCTTGGCCTGAGGGCCCGGTGGATAGCCCAGCTGACGTTGCGCCTCTTATGCTGTAGCATCTGAAGCAGCCCCGCCTGCAGATGGCCAGATTCTGATCCAGAACCTATGCCTGTTGTGCATGGGCGCGATCGGTCCAGAGGCGGAATAGGGAGTGAGCATCGGCCAGGATGCCAGCCGTAGGGTGCAGTTTTGGCAGCTCTTTGGCATGGGGTGTGTGTGAATAGACTTAGTTATGTGCAAAATGTAGTTAGGTAAACACACTTGGCCTTGTGCTTCATGCAGCTGCATTGCAGACCAGCAGATGATTTCCTTGTGTGCCAAAGCTTTGCAGATCGTGTTTACTTCGTAACCACTATGCCCGTGGAAGTGAATTGCGCTTGCATTGGATAGGGCTTGCAGATGTGATTTTGCACAGCATGTGGAACTGGTGGAACTTGGACTTGCTTGAGTTGGCATTTGCTTTAGATGTGAGATATCCCTTGGAGCCTGCGGATGCATTGCATGTAGAGCTCAATCTGAGCATCGGATATGGGGTTGATTTCCCGGTTTGATTTGATTTCCCCTTTTTGGGGTTGATTTCCCCTTTTCTCAGCTTAGATCATGACACCTGCACTTGGCTTAGCTGTTGCAACAAGTTTGTAGGGAAATGGCTTGCAGCAAGCAGGCTGGGGGCGGATGGCAGCTCGTAGGCAATTGATTAAGCTTTTTCCTCCCTCAGATTGCTGAATCGCGATTTGGAGAACGCTTGCGATTGCTGACTTTGAGCAGCGTTTCGTCCAAGCTTGTTGGTACAAACAGTGGCTTTGGCCTGTAAGTAATTACAGGCGGATCCGCACAAAGCCCTGAGTTGTCTTGAACACATTCTGGGCGTCATCCATGTCTTTCCGTTGGGCATGTTGCCAATGTGGGAAGGACAGGCCGTTCCAAATCCCAGTTCTGCTTGGTAGGTTTCCTCCAAAAGCTAGAAACAGGGAATCTCCAGAAAGCTCCTCGATGACGGTTTCAACGAGAAGCTAAGGTAACCCATTTGAGGGTCATCAGCCATGATTATTCAATATGTTTGGAAGGTAAGCCTTATTTTAAACAGGCGTTTCCTCCTTAGACTCTCTGGAAAGACCTGTTCTCCTCTTGTTTTGCCCTAAGCTACGTCGTAGCTGTGCTTTACTCGCTGAGGCTGTGGGGCATATGACCCATGCGGCCAGGAACTCAGTTCGGAGCACCGCAACCTCACCTCGTTGGGGGGGGGGGGGGGTTCAAAAGCGTTGTTGAGATGTCTCGCTTTGATTTGGTGAGTTGTTACAGATTATCCGGACATATGTTTGCAGATCACTTTGCAAAAGGCGCGAAAGACAACCTGGGCGCCCGACCAACGGCTTGTCGAACAAAGCCAAACACGGCAAACATGGCCTGCAGCGGCGGGAAGACTGGGCGTGAGCTCTTGATCAGTTGTTTTGACGAGAGTGTGGAAGCCCTCAACAACTGGATACTGACAATCAACCATAGGAACCTTGATTGCGGCTGCTGATGTTTTTCCAGCTATGTTTTGTTTTGAAAGTAATTCCAGCTATTGTTTGTTTTGAAAGTAAAGTTGCAGCCACTTGCCCAGCTAGATCAATCCTCAGCGATGCCATCGAACCGAGGCTCGGTCTCCTGTCGGTGTCCTTCCCATACTTAGACGATTAAACAGGGGCCTCAAGGTGGCTCTAAGACCAGCAACCCACCCCGAAAGGAAATGGGGCAGGAAAAGCCCTTTACACCGATGCTGCACAGTGGTGCGGAGGGAGTTGTCTAGTAATGTTGACCCCAGACAAAATCAACCCCAGTTTATTAGTAGGGGAGTGTCCCTGGGTTTAGTGGGGAATCATCACTTTTGGAGGGGCCCCCACCCCCCTTATTAATAAACTGGGGCTGATTAATATGGGGTCAACATTAGCTTGGGCAGCCACTTTGTCATTTCTTGGGGCCCCGATTTCCACATAGGAACCCCAGCCATGCCTCAGGCCTGCGCACGCGGAGGAGACTTGCACGACCTGCAGTTGCGCCCGGGTGCCCGCATGAATCAGAAAAAACACATGCAACCCACGAAAGGGGTGCAAGGAGGCGATTCGTGTAAACTTACTTGTTTTTGTGGGCTTCCAAGTGAATCTGCAGGGTACGTGGCAGTCAGGGGCACCTGTTTCGTCCAATGGCAAGGCAACACAAACTTACGCCTCATGACCCTTTTGACACACCAGCTGGCCTGTGGCAACAGTCGGAGGTCAGGCCTTCGGCACTTCTTGTGCGTTCGATAATTGACCGTTGTATCAAAGGTTTGGCTACAGGAAAGTCTACAGGAAATGACCCCAAAACAACCTAAATAAGCTGTTTTCCTGTAGAATTTCCTGTCACCCAACCCTTTGATTGTATCCACGGAGCGACTGCCCTGTCTGAGGGTGCTTTTCCTTTGCCTGTACGGGTCTCGATGGGTCTCAATCAACGGGCCACTACCGGTATGCCTTGTGTACCCCCTTGAAAGGTCAGCACGCCAAAGAACAGCTAATCAGACCACGTGTCTCCTCCAAGAACTTGCCAGGCGTGTCCTATCATGCAAACCCTAAAGTGAAAGGTTTGTGGTAAAAGCAACAACCATTACGCTGACGGCATCTAAGATTTTGTTTGGTTGGCTTGGGACTTGCATAGGGGCAGAGTATCCGATCGTTGATACCTGCGTCCAGTCGAGCGCGTGCGATCAACCAATCGTGACTGGTCACATCTACGTACAGATTGTGTTCCTTTACGGAACAGAGTAAGTAGAGAGCCTGTTTGGTTCAGTGTTGAGCGCGTTACCGTCGGGCAGCTGTTATTGCGGTATATACTTTCTTGATGTCTTTTTGGGATTGAGCTGGGCAGTCTTTGACCAAGGGATTTCTAGACGAATGGATTCCCACGAACTCCAACATCGTGAACAAGCTGTATTGTTCCATTGTTTGTTCAATATGTTTTTACTGGAGCTGCCATCTCAACCTCAAATATATTTGAAGTTCCAGCTTGGCTTCTGTCGTGTTGTTTTTTTTCGAAGGTCAGCTTGACACACTGATCTACGCAGGTTGTCCCTGGATTGTTTGATTGAAGTCATTCCTTTCCCGGACGTTTCCGCCCGAGGCAACCAATACCTCTCGCCTGGGCCTCGAGCGGCGGGGCCAGGGCCGCTATTTGACGCTCAGCAGACAAATTCCATAGCCACTTGAACGAGCCCAGTTGGACAAGCTAGGGGCGGTATTGCAACCTTGGTAGAACCCAAAGTCAAAGGGCTCTGGAAGCCGCTGCTTTTCAAAGATGTGATGCCGTGATGCCCGCTTCAGAATTGAGGTAAGTGACATCATGTGGCTGGCTTCTTCTCATCTGTTCATTCCCCTAGCTGAAAGCGCAGGAGTTCTCACTCCGAAATGTAGCAACTTGTCGCAATGGTTCATCTTTTCTTTCTTTCCGGTTGGTGGGCTCCCCTCTGGAAATGGTAAACCCCAACTTCGACCAAGGTCGCTGGCTGCAACTGGGTCTAACGTGCACTTTGGAAGAACCAACATCTTCAGGCTCAGGGGCCAGTGATAGTCAAGTTGTACACGGAAGATTGATGTTCATCCGTTTAAGTACTGTCGCTTGGAGTTTCTGAGGTAGACATTGTTGGTACTGCAGCCTATAGTGAATTTGACAGGAGGACATGTGGGCAAAGACGAGGGCAACTTGTCCATATCTGGCTTCCGGACATGTCACGTTTGACAAGCAATTAGTATTGTCCAGGGTTCTCATCACATGGTTTGAGAGCCAAGCCTGTGCCGAACATTTTTGGAAGTCTTGCTGTGAACGAGGACTGGGTCCGGCATTTTAGAATTGTTCAATGTCAGGCCCAGCTTGCTGATAAACTCTCGTCCAGCGATCAGTCGTTCCGACTCCAACCCAGCTTGACCGGAAAATATGAAGTACGTGTCTAAAACTACAGGGACTTGAAATTGCTGGAGGAGTTTCAGTTGGTTGGCTGGCCACTTTGCTGATGCCTTAGATTGCAACACAAATTTCAGGATGTTCAGGCAGATGTTGGTAACCTTTCTTAGGTTGTTCTAACGACAAACCAAAGGGAAAGCCATGATTTTGAGGTGTTCCCTATGCAAAGACAACCAAGTCTGGACCTCTG